GTGAACCTCACAAGGTTCACACAGGCCCATTTCTCAAACATAGAATCAATAGAATCAGACTCTTCTGTTACAGAGTCCTCTTTCACCCCCTGAGGGGTCACAGAAAAGGCAGATTAAACAAGGAGGTTTCATGGAGGAACATGAGCAGCAATAGGGCACAGCACTCACTCAATGGTGAGAGGAAAATGGTAAAAGGGAATTGGACTGAAGGTCCCTTTTTCAAGGGTTTCATCGGACTTGCAGACTTGTCTTCACTGTGTGGAAGAATCCACGCGCTGATATGGCCCACAAATGGCTCCTGATCTGTCCCTTCTACCTGGGGCTGGCTAGCAGAACTACCATGAGTTTATACCAGCCAGCCTGTCCCTGGGGAGGTGGTGGCAGATTTCAGTCACCCAGGAAATAACATAAGCCCCAGGCTAAATTCCTCTCTCTAAATTCCAGGAGGTGGTGGCCAGGTGGTTCAGCCACCCTGGAAAACATCTTAAGCCTCATGTTAAATTTCACTCTATATTTTCCAAGAGAGACCTGAAAAATCAGCTTCCAAATGCAGGGAAGATTCCAGGGACTCAGCACTCCCACACTATTCCTCCTCTCCCACCCCACTGAAGCTGTGCTTTGAAAGGATACTGAGTGATGACGTTCATGAGGAGGTAGAACCACATGATCGGCAGGGTCAGTCCGATCACTGGGACCTGGAACAGCTCTGCGGGGAGAAAGGATGGAGCAAGGTCACTGCCCTGCTTAAAGAAGATGCAAGGAAAGGCTCTCCTGTCCTGGACTGACCATGATCCAGGATATGCTGCAGGTTCAGGAGGCCATTGCTGCATTAAGCAGACTGAGGTGCGGGTACATTTTGATTTTGCTCCAAATAGAGCGTTATCTTGTTCTTAGTGTGATAAAGGACAAATACAAGAGAGTTTGCAGATGTTTCTGCTTGGATTTCCATAGGGAGGAAAGGAAGATGGGGGAAGAAGTAGGCTAAGGAAAAAAGACATTAAAAGAAAAGCTCTGTCTTGCTTTCTTGCGTCAGGGCTGTCCTATTGTTAAAATGGGATGAATCAACTGTGCGGCTCTGAGAAGCTGACAGCGTTAGCATGGGAAAGCCTGCATAGCACCAGCAAAACAAAAGCCAACGGGTCCAAGTTTACGCCTCTCGTTGAGGATTTGGTCCTGTTGCTCCCATTTTTGAACTACCACATTCCTTTCCCCAAGGGTCACCTATCTCATACTTTTCTTTAGTGGGTGTAGCGTGCCAGAAGTACTTTGCAATGATATTAATGAACAGATTAAAGTGATCTATGCATGCAAATATCCCCTATAACCAGAGGGAATTAAAGAACCAGCAAACCTACTCAGCAAAGATCTGTCCAGTTTCACAAAATTGGGAATATAGGAAGCTTGCTGGCACTTTGGAAGCCTGATGAATTTTACTATTAAACTTAAGGAGATGTATAGCTCAAGGTGGATGGACGAGCAATCTGTCTGGGCCCAACAGGTGTATGCGTGTGCAGTAGTGAGAAATTTGGGGTTTAACCACAGTGATCCAAAGTCATGGCTTAGCTTTGCGAACTGCTGTGGCACCAGCTGAACGGTCAGCTGCCCATGGCCAGGCTCTCAGCAGTCAGCAAGCAGCACTTGTCCAAGCGTGCTGGCATCTGGCCTTCCACGAGAAAGAGGTTGGACAATGTCCCCAAGAGAGTGTGTGGGGGGTTTTTTGGCTTTAGGCTTTCTATCAAACCTGAAAATTCAAAGGGCTTGAACATCCCAAGATGACAGTCTGACGTGCACAACTGCTGGACTGAAAGCTTCCTACAGCATTTTCCAGAGGACAGGAAGGTACAAGAGCAAGGATCCGTCTGTGCAACACTCACCAGACTGGCTGAAGAGGACTGCATGGTGGTAGATGTTTGGGGCAAGGAGAAGAAAGCCAGGGAGTGGTAATGCGTGCTGGAAAGTAAAGACAGGATGTTAACAGATTATGTGAACCCGCTTCACTTCCCATCCTGGGAAACCAACTTCACATATCTGGGTGAGAGCACACTCTTCACTGCTCCAGCCCTGCAGCGTGTCACCCTTTGGATTTGTGCCGAGTACCGGGTGGGCGGGGAAGGGACTCTCTTAGCAGCTCTGTCTGCCCGGTAAAAGCAATAGAAAAAACATGGTGACTTACATTGTAAAAAAGGGCCTCTTTGGAGTGCTTCCCAAACTGCTTGTAGAGCATCTCCTGGAAAATGCCCATTCTGGCAGACATGAGGAGGGCAAAGGTGAGCGCAGCAATACCTGGAAGAGAAGCACAGCCTTGCAACACTGCTCAGGGACAGCATAGCTCAAGTCAAACAGCTTGACAACTCCCTTGATTTGGCCGTCAGTGAAAAAAGCCAAAGCATCTGGACTTGGTAAGATGGGCAGAAAATTGATAACGGTGTTGAGGACACGGGTATCTTATTACAAAGGCTGAGATGCCAAGAGACTTCTGAAAAGATCATCTCTTAAAAAAGAGACTCAGCCCTGGCAAGCAGAGTTGGTGGGATACCAGGGATACAGGCATTTGCCACTACTGAGAATACATCAATCCCAGGTTCCCTGAAAAGCCAGCAATAAATCTAGGCTAGAGGTACAAAAATAGGTTCAAGTGCCACACTTCAAAGACTCCTCCACAAAATACTGTGCTGAACAAACACTTGAACCAGCTATAGCCCCTCTCCCTCTCTGCAGCATAGCTCACGGAATCAGACATATCAGGTAGGGCTGCTTTTGCAGAGAGAAATCCAGAAGATATCTGCAAACATGCATGACTCTAGTCTCATTATGTCACGAAGGCACCACCTTGTAGAAACCTGTAGGTCCCATATTTGACTTGTTGGCCAAATAAAGAGTATCTCCTTGCACAAAGCTGCTAATGAGTGCCACAAAACCCCATTCTTTGCAAATCAACAACCAGATGCTCATCAATCAATCAACCAAATGCTCAGCACAACTTAACCTCAGCATAGGGACTCCCACCACAGTCTGCTTTGCACAACCCACACGGCCAAGGATATCAGAGCGCCGAGTCTTGCCAGTATCCCAGCAAAGGTTAGCTGGGGATGTGGCACTTGCGTACCTAGCAGCCACCACAGGAAAACCTGGAGTCCGTCCTCTTCATTTAAGCTGGAGTCAGATGCCTGGTGGAGGGAGACACAATACAGGCACCATAAGCCACCATGTCCCTGCAGCTCATTTGGGCCTGCCTCTATCTCACTCTTGGTTTGTGTGTTGTGCTCCAAGCAAGCCCATAAAACAAAGACTGCCCAAGGTCTTGCGTTCTCCAGAGTCAGCTCCCTGGCTGAACAGAGGTGATGGCAACTACAGCATACTTCACTTTCTGCTTCAGAGACTTCAGATAGACTCTGCTTCACAGAATGCATCAGATTCCAGCCAAAAAGTGGAAATATCTGATCAAGAAGGTAGCTTTTCTGAAAGAAATGCCCTGACTTGGTCAGAGACTGAACTCTTCAACCACAAAAATAATCAGTGCCAGACAGAAAGCTCACACAGACGTTGGCAGGCTCCTCTGTCCCATCTCAGAGGTGAGTGTGCAGGAAGAACCAGGGCTCTGGCTTGAGGTCAAGACATTGACAAAACCAGGCCCGTAGATGCTGTTAGGTAGCATGACTTGGCTCAACTCTCTTTCACTGTGGTTTAGGGCAAATTAGATTACTCACCTTTGCCACAACTGTCTGTACCATACCAAAAGCCCATGCCTGCTGAGAGTTTATCTGGATTAACACCGAATAATACAGAGCAAGGCTGCATAGAACAGACCTTCCTCCGATACCCTAACAGCTATTAAATGATGGGAGACCTGGAGGTTTGACAGCTTTGTTTCATTTCCAGTCTCTCAGAGCTGGATTAAGTGCAACAAATTTTCACTATACCACCACTTTATGCCATTTTTCTGTCTTCAGCTGACAAGATCAGGCTGGGGGTTCTGACCCAGGTAAAGCTCAAAGTGGTGTTACACATGGATTTTCTTCACTCCGTCCTGTTCTCCAAATACATGCACTTTATTTCAAGGGTCACAGAAAGTCATGCTGGATGACAACAGGTCTGTAAAAATCTAGCGTGACAGGCAACAACCTCTTCTGGGATAAAAAGAGTGAAGACTTAAGATGGCTGCATTTTGCTTAAGATTCACCTGCTCCTAACTGCAACACATCACAGTAAGGGCGAAAGAAAACAGCTTCTAGCTGTTATCTCTGTGGCAGAAAAATAATGGTTTTTCTAAGCAAAAGACAACCAGAATAACACAGGATAAAAGGCATCTGTAATGAAGTTAAACCACATGCGTGTGTTTGCCCCTTCTCCCCAAACCACAGGAAAATGAGACCAGGAACAAGAGCTTTCGGGGAGCAGATCTAGAGCTAGAAGACATCTTGCACCTCCATTCATAGTCGGGCAAAGGGAATTACTGATAAAGGGGATGACAGAAGCTCCTGTGTCAATAAGGTTCACAGCTATGACCTCAGGCCCTTTCCAATTCTTACCACTTGTTTTGCAGACATGAACGTGCAGGTGAAGATCCCCAGGGACACCAGGGCTATGGACGTGTATTTAGAAACGCTGTATCTGCACAGAGGAGAAGACAGATGTCAGTGATCCAGCCCAGCCTCGCCTTGTTCACCTACTGCTCCCTTGCACTGCATTTTGCTCCATTACACCAGTGTGAACCTGGGGTAATGGGCACGTACGCATTACTTAACGTCAGACATTGCTAGGAAGGAAGGCCAACTTACTCCAACTGCAACACAAAAGAAGCATTTGGACCAAGATCTCCTTGCCCGTGGCAAAGGATCTCTCTCAAATCAATGCCAGCATGGATCTCTGCATAGTGATGGAGTGGCAGGGGATGTGCCCACATTGGTCCCACAGCCAGACCTCAAGCAGCTGGGAGGACCCTCCCGTCCTGATGGCTTTGCCCACTGTGGTGGGTTGACCCAAGCCAGCAGCCAAGCACCCACACAGCCGCTCGCTCATTTCTCCAACCTCGTGGGGTGGCAGAGTGAACTGGAAAGGCAAGAATGAGAAAACTCGTGGGTTAAGCTAAAGAGTTTAATGAGGGGGAACAACAAAAACAATGCAAAAGCAATCACTCACCACCTCCCATAAGCATGGCGGTCTTGGAAGCCAACTCCTCCCAACCCCCTTCTTCCTCTACCCCAGCTTCTATTGCAGCACACAGCACTGTATGGCACAGAATAACCCTTTGGCCATTTTGGGTCAGTTGTCCCAGCTGTATCCCCTCTCAACTTCTTGTCCACCCACAGCCTACTCACTGGGAAGCAGAGTGGGAAAAACAGAGCGCCCTGACACTGCCTAAGCACTGTTCAACAATAGCCAAAACATCAGTGTGCTGTCAACACAAATCTGAAACACAACACCATATGAGCTGCTATGAAGAAAGTTAATTCCATCCCAGCCAGACCCAAATCAGCCGTTCCTCAGGAGTGGTACTGGCCTCACAGAAGTAAGAGGAAAGAAAAGAGCTAACACAGAAGGCTGCAGACATCTGTAAAACCTCTCTTCTCAGTCCATGCTTGCCTCAAATGAAGGAGTGAGGGGTGGTGGAAATGCAGAAGAGGGAACGATTTCAGCCTCTAGTCCAGGCACACCTGTGTTCCCATTTCCCCATCAGTAAAACAAGAAAATTTAACAGGAAAGAGGAGGGCACTAAACACCAGTCAGGATTAAGTAAACGGCAGAGCATTCCCTGATGATATAAGAGGCTTGTGATTTACCTTTTCTTCAAAATGATGATACCTAGAGCCATGCTTGCTATGAGAGAACCCTGGGAAAGAAGAGAGAGAGAAAAAAAAAAAAATAGAAGGTCAGCATGACAAACGTCCCTGGTCCGGGATGCCTGCCCCAGAGAAACACTGCAAACTCAATACAGCTAAATGCAAAACACCAACAGAAATGCCAGAATAGGTTCAGGGAGACCGATAGGGTGGGGACAGAGAGGAAACGTCCTCAAGTTGCACCAGGGGAGGTTTAGATTGGATATTAGGAAAAATTTCTTCACCAAAAGGGTTGTCAAGCCCCTCCCTGCCTAGGGAAGGGGTTGAGTCACCATCCCTGGAGGTATTTAAGACGTGTAGACGTGGCACCTGGGGATATGTTTTAGTGGTGGACTTGGTAGTGCTGGGTCTGCGGTTGGACTCAATTATCTTAACGGTCTTCTTCCAACCTAAATGATTCTATGAGTCTCACTTCAGCTAGGAGGAGGGGAGAAGTTGAGCTGGGTGGTTTGGGAACAAGTATGCTGGCGCAAACAGGCTACTAGGATCTTCTGGCTAGTGGGCCTCCCCTTTTCTTGGCCCACTCATGACACTCAGTGTGTGCTACAGAGTAGAATGTGGCCAAATCGCTGTGTTTTCAACTGGGAACAGGAGTATGGCTCCACAGACTGACTGCAGGGTTGCAATACAAGAAGCATCCCTCATGGTTAATGTGGGTATTAGAGTGTTGTCTGTTTTCCTTCTTTTTAACCTCTCCTGACTTCAGGTATCTCAACCGCATGACGTGGGAGAACAGCCCCTGCCCAGCAGATCTCCCCAGCAGATTTTTGTTATTCCCATAGCACCTTCCAAAGCAGAGGCCTGTGCAGGAAAAGTTCAGGTGGAACTAGGCCAAATCCATCCTCTCTGACTGGGGCGTTTAACCAAGACACCTACACTAGGACACAAACCACTTGGTTTAGCTGTGCGGTGGGAGGGAAAGCTGGGTGCCTCTGGCCAGCAATTCAGCCCATCCAGGGCTGACAGCCAGAGTCTGGGCTTGGTTTTGTCACTGTTACTTCTCCATCACCTTTGGAAATATGAAGCCTGTTGAGCCTCAGTTTCCTGCCCATTAGGTTGAAATCTAATGATCAACACTGTGAAAGTGAGAACTGGAGCTGAGCCTTCAGAGCAAGGTTGCTCTCCCCACAAGTTAGCTGGAGTTTAGTATTTGCACA